AGGAAGTTCTCGAGTGGCTGGACTGGCTGAGGCGGTAGGTAAAGGTGCCGAAGGGCGGCTGGATCGGCTTCATTCCCGTGCGGTGGACATTCGGCTCGGTCAAGTGCACTTATCACCCGGCCGTTACGTAGGTGCATGGCGATTATCTCCGTGGAGCTTGCTCTCAGATGCCCCCAGTCCGTCGAGTGGAGTTGTTTGTGTGAAATAAGTGTGTGTTGCTGTTGTTGGGTCTTAATTTTAATAGTATAACTTCCCGGAACAGCCCCCAAATGCAGTGAACAGCTAAACTTCACTGTTCGTGCGTTATGTCTCCTAAGTTTAACTAGGTGCAAGCGCCGCATCGGGTATCTATTCTCTACGCACAGTCCGCAGACGTTCCATTTAATCAAATATTACTTTCCTAAACACATTCAAGTCCCCTATTATTGAGGGGAAACCCAAAATAATAGAACTGATCCCCGGCCCTCGGCGAGGGCGTGGGCCAGGGCCACAGCAACGGCCTCGTACCCAGCCCCAAGCTGGTGCCGGCTGGCGAACACTCTAATCCTATTAAGCTGCTTTTTTATTTAAAAGTGTCCAAATCCTCGAAATATTCTACAGTATTCATTCCTTTTCATGATTTTAGGCCTCTAGATGCCACACCAAATCTCCATTGTAGTGCCTGTGCACTACATTTTCCGGCTTATTTTCAATTAAACAACGCCTTCAACACTAATCGCAACAATTCACCAGTTAGCCTTCCTCTGAATGAAGAGGTCGTTGCTCACGCTCGTCCCGATAAACCACCCGATGCTACCATGTGAGAGTCTTCGATCTTATCCGAGGACCGTGCTGAACTACAGCCCACCCAAAAAGCTAAAGGTAAGAGTTAATAAAGGATAGCAAACCTCTTATCCTATCTAGTGCCATCCTGGGCACAGCGGCCTACTTGCCTGGAGTTGCTGAGAGAGGAGACTTACTGAGATGAGTGGCAACGCACCTTTCTGCAACTGGTGCTGCAATGCGAACCCACATGCAACCACAGCCAAGCCCATATCGGCACACGCACTAGAACTGTAGACAAGAGTTGAACACCTACTTGGTACCGAGTAGGCAGGCTTCACTCAAGTAGACGCACATGCAGCAACCTTGTAGTACGGCCTGTTCCAAGTTGGTACATGGCCAGCTACTTCGCAGCCCGCCCGCAAGCCGAATTACAGAGATTGTCTACAGTATTACAGCACACAAAAAACGGGGGTTGGTTGTGCTTGCACGTGAAGGTGCCTTGCGGCGGTAGTTGCAAGTAGGTTTGTTGTAACCATGTCAGCCGCTTCCAGTCTTCGAGCTACAGGCAGGCAGGCCCTGGGGCCTCTGTGCCCAGAACGTCGGGGGAAAGGAGGCCAGTCGCTTTTTAGGAGCTCTCACCTTCAGTCATTTGGCTCGCTTAGAGCTAACGGCCGTCCGCGGATAATATCTTAGGCCCTCGTTACCAACTTCGGCAAATCAATATACGCGACCCCTGCTGCAAGGCAACCCCGTAAGCAAATTTGCTTTGTACGCAAAGCACCCTTCGATGCATGCACTGATACTCAATGCAAATGTTATATACGTGCCTGGCTAGAAGGAGCCAACCTGCACTCGATTAGAAATACACGCACCAGCGTAGAAGAGCCCGTTACAGCAGCAGCATCAGGTCTTTGCACCGTTGTGCCCAGGATACGTGAAATCAGGGGAAGACGGCTGATTTTTCAAAGTCGTATCTATAGTAATTTGGCTCTATTTCGGCTTATGACGGTCTCCAGCCAAGATCTAGGAATCGTTGCAGTGACACAGTCAGCGAACAAAACAGAGGAAGAAGCCCAATGAGGCAGAGAGGTGAAATATGGCTTTAATGAATCTCTTGAAGGGCGATCATGGTGCACAGAGGGAAATACGCTGCTTTGTCTGTGCTTTTTCTTCAACCTGTTGAACTGCCAGGTTCACACCGGCTTCGGGCTTCCGCAAACTTCAGGCGAGGGCAGGGAATGCCAAATGAAATAGGTAGAGGAGGGTCGTCACAGGACTCTAAAAAATCGGGAAAATATGCTTTAGTTTTTGTGCAATGTGTCCGACCTTTCTAGAGGACATACAAGGCGGAAAATGCACAGCAGCCGACTCCGAGTCTGTTTACGTTGGTGACAGCCGGCGTTTCCAGAGTAGCTGGAGCAATGGGCAGCGCGATAGCGGAAACTCCCACATTCCTTTGTTGTTTGCACCTTCTTAAGTTTTTTTGTAATACAAAATGTGTCTCGATTCCTCCAACCTAGAGAGGTTGACGTAACCTTCTCTACAGACGCCCCGCCTCTCTGGGGTCCCACACGGCTATCATCACCACTCGTCCTCTTGGGGCTGCCTTTTTCCTATTTCCGTAACTTCTTACCAAAGCGGCAGAAAGCAGGGTTCTACGTCCCTACATGCTTTACACATATGCTCCGATTGTTGTGTCGCTCTCGGTATCCTGCGATTAGGGTGCGTGTTGCCATCGTCACCCAACAAATAGATGAGCGTAATAAGTGGGATTCTGGGCCTACAGAGCCCCATATTGCAGGAGAACACTTTGGATATTTCTACGAAGGAAAAACAGAAGAGAGGCGCACGGCTTCGGCGCATTACAAGCCCCACCGTGAGTTAGAGGTCGCTATAATTCCTCCTTCTCACACTCTATGAACGCGTGCGGAACAAACAGACTCCGGCGGGAGCTTTAACTGTGGACAAGAAGTGCCGAACAACTACGAGTAGAGAACAGTGCGGTGGTCAGGTACCACCACCGCCACCTGCTGCAGCAGTAGCAGACCATCTCCACAGTCGCTGCAGCAGCAACTAATCTCCACAGTCGCTGCAGCAGCAACTAATCTCCACAGTGGCTGCACCTGCACCTCCCCTCGTCCACAGTTGCTGCTAGAGCAGCAGCTCACGCGATTTATCTGGAAAGGAGGAATTAAAAATTAAAACGCAGCCGCGAGTATGTCGCGCGTGCTGCGGGCTGTTCGCCATCTTCGCGAGGCAGCAACGAAATTTACATTTCGTATATCTGTGGAATCCCTAAAGATAAACCTAGATGAGCCGGCAACTGTCGTTGTCGATCTCACCCGAGGTTAGCAGCATTTTTCCGCATGCGCAGTGTTCCTGGTGCTGCTGCTATTGCCGCACTTGCTGTTCCTGTTGCTACTTTTTTTGCTGCTGTTGCTGCTTCCATGCTGAAGGTGCTGTGTCCTCTATGTTCTGGTAGCTACTCCGACCATTACTGTGGGTGATGCTACTTCTGATGCTGCCGTTGCTCCTGCTGCTGCACTTGCTGCATTGGGGCTACGCTGACTGACCTTCTCAGGGCCCCGACGCGTGCGTGGGAATGCGACGATAGAATTGTCCAAAGGCGATAATGAATTATCGTTGAACATTCCGCTGCAGTGCAACGCCACCCTATTCAAGCCGAAGAACAGCTCTCAGGCCAGCAGTCAGCCGCGAGTATGTCGCGCGTGCTGCGGGCTGTTCGCCATCTTCGCGAGGCAGCAACGAAATTTACATTTCGTATATCTGTGGAATCCCTAAAGATAAACCTAGATGAGCCGGCAACTGTCGTTGTCGATCTCACCCGAGGTTAGCAGCATTTTTCCGCATGCGCAGTGTTCCTGGTGCTGCTGCTATTGCCGCACTTGCTGTTCCTGTTGCTACTTTTTTTGCTGCTGTTGCTGCTTCCATGCTGAAGGTGCTGTGTCCTCTATGTTCTGGTAGCTACTCCGACCATTACTGTGGGTGATGCTACTTCTGATGCTGCCGTTGCTCCTGCTGCTGCACTTGCTGCATTGGGGCTACGCTGACTGACCTTCTCAGGGCCCCGACGCGTGCGTGGGAATGCGACGATAGAATTGTCCAAAGGCGATAATGAATTATCGTTGAACATTCCGCTGCAGTGCAACGCCACCCTATTCAAGCCGAAGAACAGCTCTCAGGCCAGCAGTAACAGCGGCAGCAACCAAAAGAGGCAGAAGTCCAAAGTTGAAGGAGTGCCAGAGGCAGCAGATGATGGTGCTGCTGATGCTGCTGATGAGGTCCCGTTTCTGCCTAAAAAAGCTCAGCTGCAGGTGCACAGCGGAGGCGGTTGAACTTTGCGTCTGGCTCCTCTTGTTTTGTCTGATTATTTCTGTGTTTGCCTAATGTTTGTCCGTCGTTTGGCTGTTGAGGCGTCCCTGCTCTTTTCTGCTGCCCTTGCCTGTGTATGATCGTCTGCCCCCGTGTGGCTGCTGCTGCTTCACTTGCAGGTAAAAAAACAGCAGAGACAGTAGTACTGCGTGCGATGCTGCGTTGGGGTTTGCTCACTTGTTGCTGCTGCGCGCGCTGCAGCTGCTCGACATTTCGAAATCGCGGCGACTGGGGGGCCGTCTGCTCTCTCGAATGCGGCCTTCGCCTTCTGTGTCGTTTGCATCTGCATTGCCTCGAGACTCTTCTGCCGCTGCCTCCATCTCTCTATCTCCGGAGACCACAACGGAGATTCGAGAGTCCGGGGTCCTTGTGGCAGAGGCTTCATTTGACCTGGCCTCTCTGGCTGCTGCTCACGGCAAAGGCATGCAGTACCAGACCATCCTTCTACCGCTAGAGAAGGGAAAGGGACAAATCACCATATCCGCCTCCCTACATAGACACGAAGGCCCCCTTCCAGGTCAAATTCGTCGCGCTCATGCAACCCCACAGCAGCAATAGCGGTAGCAACAGAAGGAGTAGCAGTTGCTGCTTCTGCTAGAGGCGGCGCTGGCGGCCGCCACTTGCCTGTGCTGTTGCTACTATTGTTTTAAGCTGCACGACCTGTCCATTGACTGCACCTGGTGCTGCAGCAGCAGTGACGCCTTCCGAGATTAGGCTATTGCTGTTGGTTTCGGGGTGCACAGTCTCCTGTAGCTGCTTTTGCTGCGTCTGCTGCTGCTGTGCTGCTGCGCAGATGAGGAGGACTGCCTCTCCGTTTGTTCTGCTCTTCAGTCTCCTCCACAAAATGCCCGACCCTCTCCTCCCCAAGTCCCTCGAGGCAAGACATGTTCCTGTTGCTGCTCGTGCTGCTGCTTTTGACATCTTGCTTCTACTGCCTGGAAAATTAGTTTCTCTCTTTGTCAGTTGGACAGAGTTTGCTGCTGCCGCCCTTGTCTGCTACGGCTCGTTCCTATTCTCGCCATTGCGTCTTTCGCTGAGTGCACAAAACACGAACTCCAACAGTTCCACTTTACCCTAATCCTTCACCTGCACTTTTCCTTAGTGGCCGGGGTGCACTTTTCTTTAGTGGTCGGGGTTCCTGTGGGTGCAGCGGCAGCTTCGCCGAAGCCTGCATCAGCAGCAACAGCAGCAGTAACAGCAGCAGAAACAAAGCACCCCGCATCGCTCGCAACTGCAGTAAAAGCAGAGGTAGCAGAAGACCAGCAGCCCTTGGTGCTACGTCTGCCTCATAAGGAGACTCTGCCTTCCTCCTTGGAGACACCTATCCTGGAAGAGGCGACTCCGCTTCAGCAGCAGCCTCACGCAGCAGCAACAACACTGGAAGCAACAGCAGAGGCGGGAAATGGAAAGGAAGGGGCAGCAAATACTTCTTCAGCAGCCAATGCTCAGCGACCACCAGTACGTCTCAGCAACTGCTGCTTCTGCAGGTTTCTCTGCATGTCTTAAGCCGTTGCTTCTGTTGCTGCTGCTGCTGTTCAGATGCAGGAACTCGCATCTACAGGAACTGCAACTACTCCGGCGGAATTGTCTCCAGCAGAAAGTCAGCGGCAACCGAACCAGCAGACACAACAGCAGCAGTTGCAGGGAAAACAGCAGCAGCAGCAGGCTGAACTGCGAAGAAAGGACGAGCTCATAGCGAGTCTGCAGCGCCAAGTAGCCCTCATGGAAGTAAGCCCCACTATTGCAGCAGCGGTAGTAGCAACGAAAGCAGCGTAAGCCTTTGCCCCTGCAGCTCTCGAGCAAAGTGTTGGGATGCAACCATACTCTTTTCAGCACGAGCACTAAGAACAGATGCAGCAGCAACAGCAGCAGGCCTTTTGTGCCCATGGTGTTTCAGGCAGAGAACTGCCAGTCGGCAGCCCCACAGTTGGCGCAGCTATTCGCACAAATAGACGAACTGCATACGGCGCTTGCCGCAGCACAGGAGCAGCAACTGGCAGCAGTAAGCAGCAGCACCCGTCGCAATCGAACCACGGTTTGCTGGTACTACTAATAGTACTTCCGCTTCTGTTGACACCCCGTGAAAGCTGACACTTCTGTCCACCGCCGCTGCAGGCGGAGCAACTTCAACAAGAGAGGGAGAAGGGAGACAGCTCCGCGGTAGCTGCTGCGCTGAAGCAGCAGCTGCAAGACTCGGAGCAACGGCTGCAACAGATGGAAAGGCAGAGACACGAAATGCAGCAGCAGCAGCAGGAACTGCAGAAGAGAAACACCGAACAGCAACAGGAGATGCTGCAGCTGCAGGCGGAGAGGGATGGGATGCGGCTGATTGCAGACGCTTACAAGGTATTTTTTTTTGTTACTGTAGCGTACACGCCCGAAGCACCAGCTGTTTATGCCGCTGCTTCTGCCTGCCGCCTGCGCCTTGGTTGCAGCACATGCTTCCTTCTTGCAAAATTTACTGATTTGGCGCTGTGGTTTTCTGCTGCAGAAGCAGCTTGAGGAAGTCCACCAGCACCAGCAGCAACAGCATCAGCAGCACCAGCAGCCGCAGGAAGACCAGGTGGTGGTGCTGCTGCACCAAGCGGAGCAGTGGGAGCTCGAGAAGAAACAGCTGCAATGTAAGCTAGCTGACGAGATGAGGGAAAAGGAAGCAGCACTAAACCAGGTGCGCATGCTACAGCAGCAGCTGCAGCAGCAGCTACAGCAGCAGCAATTGCTGCAGCAAAGTGCAGGCCTCAGCCCAGACCCGGCAGCAGTCCTGCAGCACCAAATCATATCGCTCCAGCGCCAGGTATGCCTGCAAATGTAAGGGCACCTTACTGCGGCGGCAGCAGCGACAGCAACACGGGGAGTTTGAGCAGCATGAAAAGCAAAAGTACTAGCCACACCAGCCTCACCAGCAGCATCAGCTGCAGCGGAATAATCAGAGGCATGCTCAGCAGCAGCAGTAGCACCAGGAATATGAACGGGAGCTCATGCATGCCTGTAATATTGCTTCCTCACTTGACGTCCATGCTGATAGGCGTTCAATAGACAGCGACGGCACAACAATAGACTAGTAACTCTAAACAGGCATGCCACGCCTACTTGCACTTTCTTCAGTTTTAGGGTGTATGTACAGCTCGTGGAAGCGGCAGATACGAGGGAGACGCTGCGCAGGGCGAAGGATCAAACGATCGCCGAACTGACCAAAGCCCTTCAGGAAATGCAGCAAAAACAAGTGAGCCTCCATACTCTCAACCAGTAGCGGCAATAGCAGCAGTGAAGGCAACCAGTGCAGCAACAGCAGCAGCCTCAGCAGGACCTGTTGGCACTGCCCGTGGTGTACGTTGCGGCGTTTGTGGCATGTACGTAGGGAGAAGCCCAAGCGGCTCAGCAGCATACAATGCAGAGCCTGAACACATTTAAGGAAGAGGCAGAAGCTCTCAGGTACTGAGGCGGCAAGTGCAACAGCAGCAGCAGTTGCAGCAACAGCCAGCGCAGTGGGAATCGACAGCATGCAGATGTAGGGACACCTTACTGCAACTGCAGCAGCGACAGCAACATGGGGAGTTTGAGCAGCATGAGAAGCAAAAGTATTAGCCGCAGGAGCCTCACCATCAACATCAGCCTCAGTGGAATAATCAGAGGAATGCTCAGCGGCAGCAGCAGTAACAGCAGGAATATGAACGGGAGCTCATGCATGCCTGTAGTCCTGCTTCGCAGTCGTCGCCCCGGTCTGTGCTGCTGCTCTCGCAGCACATCGCTCTCCATGCTCTTCCTCTGGCCTCAGTGTGCTCGCTGTTCAATGGTATTCGGCAATTTGCTGATGCTGCACTTGTTATTTGTTGCTTTGGCTGCTCCTACAGGGAGAAGATCCGCTACCAAGAGGAGACGCTGCAACGACTACCCACTCAGGCAGCCTGGTCTTGCGCTCAACAGCAGCACCAGCTGCTGCTGCAACAGCAACGGGAGTGGCAGCAGCAGCACGAACAGCAGCGCCGACAGCAGGAGCTGCAGCTAGCAGCAAAAACACGACGCGTAGAAGAGCTCGAGAAGGTGCGTGCACGCTTTGGGGGGCTCTTGCTGCTTCATCGTTTTGCCCGCAGCATCGCCATTGCTGCTGCGGTGTTGATGACTGCGCCTCATGGAGGTATTGTTCTGCTGCAGTTGTCGTTGGTGTCGCCGATGTTGCTGTTGCTACGCCTGCTAATACTTTTGACGGGAGCCTTTGCATCTTCGCGAAGCCGCCTTTTCTGCTTGATCCCTTCTACTTTTCATGGCTACTCCATTAAATTTTGTCTTCAACTGCCTCGAATAGTGCTTATGCTTAATGCAGGCACAGCGCTAGCATTAATTTTGTTTTGTGTATTTATTTGTCTTTTGTGGTCTAAATTTTTCTGCATCCAGTCGTTCTTTCTTTTTCTCTAGTTCTTTGTGGTGTTGCTGGCTCCACCAGTCTCTTTTGGCGCTGCTTTCTACTTTTTGCTCGTTTTGTTCAACGGGAGCTGCTGGTGATCCTTGTTGTGTGTCCACTTGCAACTCCTCAGGAGCTGGTCCACGTGAAGGTCGAGTTAGCAGCTGCTGAGCAACGGAGACACGAAGACATCGACGCCTTCAAAAAGAAATTGCAGGCAGTGAAAGAAACAGTTGTGGCTTACGCCGCGGCCTCATCCAGCAGCCTTCAGGTACACACACACACACGCACTAAAAATACGCTTCTGAACTGACACTCTTCACGAACCCCTTCACGGTTTGGTTGTTACCTTCGAGGTGCATGCTGGAGCTAGATAACCTTTCCATTTATTGACGATTTTGAGATGCCGCTCGTCCTGCTTGTCCCTGCTGTTGCTGTTTTCGTGCGTTATTCCTCTTTTCTTGACAGCAAACGGGAAGGTTAAGTGAGGTATGCGTTTTTGTGTTGCTTTACGTTTCCCGCTGTCTGTGCAGGCCCAGTCATCTCTCCACTCCCATAGAGGCAGCAAGCACAGCAGCAGCAGCAGCTCCAATGGCAAGGGTACTCCTGTAAAGAGGCTGGTGCACATCAGCAGCCTAAAGGCCCTCTTCCGCTCCAGCAGCTC